GGGAGCAAGCAGGTGGGAAGGGCTGTGCGAGGGGCTTTTTGCAACATTGGGGGGTTTGGGGTTGGTCGGTTGTTTTTTCTTGATGCCATCAGGAAATAAAAGAGTTGTTCAGCTTTTGGGATTCTTTGCTTCTCTCACTGTTAAGATATGAAAGAGGGAGGGAGTCTCCTGGGGAGGGAAGACCTGGCAGTTGGACAGAGGTGAGCAAAATGAATGGGAACCCCTTAAAATCATAGTAAAAGGGAAGTGGGTGTGCCTTGATGAGCTTTGTAATTGGTAAAGCAGTTTCATTTAGGAGCTCCGTTCTGCACTGAGATCTTCGCATTCGGTGTTATCGCCCGAGGTGTTGCAAATCTGGTCTGTCCTGGTTCATACCACTGCCGTAACCCTGTGACACCCAATACCTCCCATTCTGTAGCCTAACGCTCCGAAGCTGCTCTGGTGTAACAGGGTGGACGCTCGGATCGCAGGGTGACAACGTGGCTGAGGCTGGCAGGGACCTCAGGGGTTCATCGGCTCCAACCCCCTGCTCAGGCAGGGCCACCCGGAGCTGGTGGCCCAGGTCCGTGTCCGGACATCTTCCGAATTTCTCCAAGGAGGGACACTCCATGGCCTCTCTGGGCAACCCGGGCCAGCGCTTCATCACCCTCACAGTGAAAAATTGTTTCCTGGTGTTCAGGGGGAAACTCCTGTGTGTCAGTCTGTGCCCCTCGCTCCTGGTCCTGTCACTGGGCACCACTGGAAAGCCCCTGGCTCTGTCCTCTGTGCGCCCTGCCTTCAGGTATTCATATAAAATCAGTAAGATTCCCCTGAGCCTTCTCTTCCCCAGGCTGAAACATCCCAGCTCTCTCAGCCTTTCCTCATAGGAGAGATGCTCTGGGCCCTTCACCGTCTGTGTGGCCCTTTGCTGGACTCTTTCCAGTATGTCCATCTCTTCTTTTGTACCGGGGAGCCTGGCACTGGACCCAGTACCCCACGGAACTGCTGGAGTCTCGTCTTAGGGAAACCATGGTGAATTCTTGAGTTGGACAAGATTGATAGCTTTTAAATATGGACTAATAGCCCTTACATGACAGAACCTGAAATTGTTTCTAAACAGTATAAACTTGTTTATAACGTTCTAGTGTTAGACAGATGCATACAATATGGTGAGTGCTTAATAAAACTGAAACCTGGACACTCCTAAGTTTAGTTTTGCTTGTGCTCCATAACGCAAACAACCAAAACCGAAGCAGCAAACAGAAATCACAGCGATAATTATCTTTAGAAACAGATGGATGATACAACAATGAAATAAATGTTATTTTCCCAGCAATAGCACCATGTATGTGGACTCAAGTACAAAGAGTTTATGCAGTGTGAAGCATTTTAAAAAACATGGATCAGTCTCTTAGTTATATCATGGCCTTACAAATCAATTTTAATGGGCTTTATTCATAGGTAATAATCTAGTTACACATTTTTCTTCAATATTTTTTCACAGCAGCCATAAAAAATGAGTTCTACATTTTTTTTGTAGAGATGGTAGAAATTAGATAGTATATAATATAGCCCATCTGTTTGTAATGTGCCTATTAGCAACACTTGTTAGTTCCATATGCAATGCACTAGATGTATCTGTGTTCTTTACAGTTACTACAATGGTTTTGTCTTCATAATAAACTGCGATAATGAATACATTAGTCCATTGACATGATTGGACTTTTAATTTTTTTCAATTTTTTGATCAAGGAGCATGAGAAGGACCCTGTGTTACAACTCTTGATTCCTTAAATGCAATCTTAAGACTGTTTACCTATCTGTTTTTACAAGTGACATAACCTATTGGCTTTGGCCATGATATCGTCTGTTACCATTCACTTTTGAGTATTTGTACACGCAAACCGCCCCTGTGCAAGCGCACTTAATTCACAGTTTCTGCTGTCACAAGTGTGATTTACCATTACCACACCACCAATCTCTTATGCAAAAGCACTGATAATATTGTGCGTGCTGACATCATTCACTGAGTTAAACCCATTAATCCTCCTTACTAGAAATCATGTTTGGCCCTGTAAAACATTTGAATAGATACAGTTAGTAAAACATATGTGTAACCAGGATGATCTGATGCAGTTTAAAATGGTGAAGCCTAAATAGATTTTCTTGAGTGAACAAAGGCCTGGAACAACTGTGCAAAATTAATTTTGAAAAACTCATGGCTAAATGCTTTTTTGAGAATTTGAGAAAATGAGAACTCATCACATCTAGAAAACCACAATCTAGCCCCAAAAGAACACCTAATCCATCTACACTAAGAGTTTAGTAATTCACAGATTTCAGCACCATTAAAAAGGTCAAATCCGTCTTTCTCGAAATACCAAGTCAGAGGGAGAGAGAGATGGGGCTTTTCAACCAAGGCAGCCCGGCTCCGTGCTGGAGCATCTAACCTTGCGTCTGCCGAGGCGACCTTCTGTGGCAGCGGGGAGGGACTCAGACCTTTGTCATTGCAGGTGGCTGCGGGTTGTAGGTACCTTGTTTTCTGGAGACCCAGCGTGTTACGTCTGGAATCAGATTCAAGGAGTGCTGCCTGCACTTCCACCCACAACTGGGTCAGTCGGGGGGGAAGTTAGGATAACGCAATGTACCCTCAAAAAAAAAAAAAAAAAAAAAAAAAAGCAACCAAACCAGGCAGGTCTCACACATCTCAAAATTTATGTCTGAACTTGCAAACACTTTGGATCATTGTAATGACTCTGTACACCCGCTAGAAACGGGAATAAGAACACTCTTTTGTTGGCTTGGTATGGAAAGTCCCAGGAAACCCTGTGCGTAGTCTACCTAAGCAAGTAACCTGGCTGAATTGCGTTATTGATGGAATAAGAAATGCTGAAAAGATCTACAGAACGATGCTTTTGATTTGCAAAGTGTTTGCAAGTGTCTAGGGTGGGGATGATATTATGCAGGGTCTTCTTTTCTTTGCTTGAAGATGTGATTACTCAGTGGAAAGCACTCTTGCTTGCCAGGAACAGCCCAGGTGCTTTGTCTCGCCTCACTTTGGGGAAACATGGAAGAGCTGAGGTGACTTGTCATGTCCAGTCTTATGTTCCTAGGACTTGCCTCAAGTGTTTCAATCTATAGAAAGTTCCTAGATAACATTATTCGCTTGCGTACAAGAGGCACCGATCTCCCCAAGTGCAAATATTCTCCTCTAGAGGATGGTGAATCGCGACCACAGCCTCTCCTGAACAGACCAACTGAGGGGCTGTTGAACCAGTAAAACAGCCTGCTCAGAGAGAAGCAGGTTAATGTCCTCCTTTTACCTGCAGAGGGGAAAATAGGTATATTAAATGACAGATGTAGTGCAAGCACAGTGCAGTTTTCACTGCGGTTAGCCTCAGCAGAGGGTGTAACCCCAAGTTCTGTTCTATTTCTGCCAAATCTTTCCAAGCACCTGATCAGCACATCAAGCTGAGTATGTCTCTGCCATTAGTACATGCACTAAATGAGAAGCTTAAAAAAATCATCCCCAAGTTGTGCTTAAAAGTAAACACCCTGAAGCTAAAAAGAAGACATCTAAGAACTGTTGGTGGTTTTCATTTTCCCTCTTACTTTAAACAAAAAAAAAAAAAAAAAAGTGTTACTCTTTCAAGTTCTCTTGGCAAGCATGAAAGCAATATATTTGTAAGGAACACAGAGATGCTTAGTTTTGTAATGACATGAGCTGGAGGGAGATCACAGGTTATCTCACAATTCATACTGGTATCACAAGAACTGACCGCACCAGCTGTGTTTGGGTTCAAAATGAATTAACTGTGGACGGCACTGAGCAAGGATGCAAATAGGGAACCGGTTTGGCAGAAATTTGGCAAGAGGATTTGTAAGGTTCAGGCTGTTCTCCTGCTTCTGTTCCTACCGCTGGGGACAAAAATGCCATTGTTGTCAGTGACACTCAATAAATGGCACGTGGCAGAAAAAGAACGAACAGGATGAGTAGCTGCCCAATTTCTGGTCTGGAGATTTATCTGCCCAGGGACTTCTAGGACAGTGGAACTGGCTGCGTGAAGTGGGTAGGTTAAGTTATACTTATTACTTTGCTTCTAGGGAGAATTAAGCTAAGTCTAATTAAAGTCACTTAAATCCAGAACGTGAGGGCTCACATTCATGAAGGAGAGACCAAAGGATGTGAAGACTCTTTGCATCAGAGGCTTTGGCCAAGGGCATGCCTTTACCGTACTGCAGTTAATGTAGCTCTCCCAGCGCTGAATCACCTTGCATTACACCGAGGGACAAACTAACCTGAATTAGGGGTAATTACCATGGATCTGCTGGCAGGCAGCCATTTGCCAGCCTGGAGTAAGTTGTGCCTGAGCCCACAGACTATGCCTGTGCTTTCACACCTATGCTTTCCTTAGCAGGTGCCCCGGGGTTTAGCTGAGAGCTGCTCCCCCCCCTGCTGTTTTCCTACCCAGGGGTCCAGGAGGCGAGAGAGGCCACATGCGTACAGAGGTATCATTGCATACAAACATACGCCTGTTTCAGGAAGAGTTTCAGGATGACAACTAATTATTAAAGATATGCAGACACCTTAGCGGTGGTTTTGCAGTGGAGTGTGGAGCACCCTGGGCTCCTTTCCCTTGGAAGGGGATGCCACGCTGGAGCATGGTGCCAAGTGACAGCTGAGTCCAACCTAAAACCTAGCTTGAATCATTGTTTTCTCCATAATTAGAACTGACCCTGAACTGCAATTTGGAAATTTTCTTGAAGTGTGAGTCAAACGAGCATTGGTCACAGCTGAACACCATCCCGCATTTAAGCAAAACCCCATGGTGCTCGGACCTCCTGCAAGAGAGGGGAATTTAGATCACTGTAATTTGCATGCCACCTTGCCAGGAAGAAGACATAAGATGTGCAATTTCACATATTTATTAAACACTTCTCACTGCCTTCCTCTTCAAAATGTTTCCTGCCACACTCTTCTGGATGGTTGTCACATAGGACGTGCCACCAGCAGGGACTTTATGTGACTGCCTGCAGTCCTGCCCTTGGGTCTCCCCAGTTTCTGTGGCAAGAACAGATTGGCCTTTCCTCTTGAAGCTAGCATCCTTTCATTTTGCTCTCTTCTGCTTGCAAAGCACCTGGTGTTGCGGGGCATCACGCAGACCCTGCGATCCTGGCCCCTGCTTGCTTGCAGCCTTGGTGGGAAGCTGTGGGGAGCTGTGTCTGGGGCCCAGCTTGGAGTGGGCAGCACTAGACCTGGCTCCTCACTCCTGTCCCAGCCTCCCCAGGGGACACTGGTGGGTGTCCAGAGGGACCCAGTTCTTGTTTGGGGATTTTTTTTTTTTCCCCAGTGAAAGCATTTGCCAGCAGGACACAGCCACGCCAGGAGCAGCCTCTGATTTGCCCTGCACTAGATGATCCACATGAGCAAAAAAATGATGGTATGAGAGGTCTTCCCTTTGCTATCGAAAGAGCTTACCAGGAAAAAAACAAAGAAAAAATAAAGAAAGAGAAGATTGCCATCTGTGTTTGAGCCACCTAAACCATGGAAACCACAGACAAAACAGCCTGTGAGAGGGCTAATTAGGCTGGGGTCCTGGGAGCACACACCCACCTCAGCCTACAAAAAGCCCAAAGCTTAAACGTGGGTGCAAAGAGCAAACACCGTGTGCAGTGGTGCGACTGCTGGGTGCGACATCCAGGCTGACCCCCCTGCAACGACCATCCCGGTGAGTCCCCTCCTCCACTATTCATGTCTGTCTTTCCACATGCAGCCTCCGTGGAAAGGAAACCAAATTACAAATTGCTTTTTAAAAAAAAAAAAAATTGCCATTGAACTCATCCAGTTACAATGATCTTTTTGATTGCAATTTAAGGTATGTCTGATGGCTAAAAGAAAATAACATAAAAAAGCCCCAGGGGATGCGCAGCTCTGCATCCTTCAGCAGATGCTGCAATGACATTTTGGAAACGGGTACCAGGGAGAAAGCAGTAGCTCGCTGCCTGCCTGCCACTGGCCACAGTCACCTCTGGGTCATATGTGGCAGGTCTTGGCCTCGACAGCCAAATTTTGCACTGTTGTGAGGGGGACAAGGCTCTGCTGCTTTGAGATTTCAACTTGCTGAGGAGTTTCTGAAGCGCGGCATTGCAGCAGGTGGAGCACGGCAGGTCTGACATTGCCCTGTGGCTGAGAAGGATGAGTCACGTGCTTAGCGCAGCAATTCCTGAAACCACATTCCCCCCCTCCAAAATAAGCAAAAAGGGATCAAATTAATTTTGATTAATAAGCAGCCCCTTCTTATCTCAAGGGTCAGGCTGTTGCTTGTCAACTTTTAGCGTGCTGTGAATTTCACCGTAGGAAAAAGTCGGGTGCTGGCTAGAACATCAGAAAGCTCATTGTCTCTGGCCCCACATTATTGTTGCTGTTAATATAGCCCGTAACAAGCGCAGCAGCAATGGCAAAGCAAAACCCCAAGACGAGGCGGCCGCCGTGGTTAGCACGCTGCCTCCTCTGCGCTGTGGCTGAGGTCGTGACACCTCGCTCCTCAGACTGGAATTCCTCGGTAGGAATCCAGCTCGGCTTTCAGCTCGCCCTGTATTTACCATGATGTGCACGAGGCACCCAGCGGGGTCGGTCACCCCTCCGGCCCGCTGCTGCGCCGGCACTGCTGCCTGGGCTGGAGCCAGACAGGGATGGGGACGGGGACAGGGACGGGGACAAGGAAAAACCCTCGTGGGGCTGTTGTCGCCAGAGACTTTGCTGTGTTGTGTATTTTCCACTTGATTCAGCAGACCTGTCCAACATCATTTGTATATGTATGGCTATGACTGGTCTTAATTTCTACATCTTAGTATTTACACGTGGTATATCTGATTTATAGGTATTATACAGGTGGTTTCTTTCTGTCTGCTTGCATGTTTTTACTGGCGTAAATTCTGCGTCATGCTGTAGCATTAGTATGATTTGGCCACTTACTTTCCTTGGTTGTCTGCTTTGGAAAGAAGTCAACTAAAAATGTATTTTGAGTTTTGTGCATCAGAAATTCAACTACTATGTACAGAGTACAGGTGGCACTGTTAAAAGCCAGGTACTAAATTTGTATCTGTACTTGAAACTCCAGGGACCAGCATAATTCTGCGTGGAGACCTGTATCTTGATAGAAAACTTAAAAACTAAGAGCACATGTTTATGACTGGTTTTATTTCTTCAATCTATTTTTAAGCAAACACTCTGTACCTAGACTCAAGTTCTTTTATTGCAAAGATGTCATGCTGCCAGCCTTGCTCCTCAATAATTCATATTCATTAAAGTCACTTCATGAAGATAAAAAAATGGAAGGATTAGCCCCTAATCTGTGCTTTCTGAACACACTCATTTCTAAATAGATGAAAACAACCGCATTAAATTTTTTTGACCAGATGCCAAAGCCCTACAAATATTTGCTGCAAGCATCCACTTGGGCACTGAGAGTGGGTGAAGGGATCAAAGGCAGATGGGGCCAGTGGGTGCCACAAACACAGAGACGTGGCTGCAAACGCACTCGCCAACCCTAAAAGTAGCCGCTTACAGTAAACTGGCTTTGTTGATGAACTTGCTAACTCAGCGAACCCTAAGGCAGGCTGGGGAGGCAAACGGCATGGTGCATCAGTTCGTGCCCCAAATAATACCAGGGAAGGGGCTTTTAGCCAGTGCGCAACGAGCAACCAGAGGGAAGGCAGAGCATGAACATGGGCTGCTTCCCCATGGGGAAGGTTCGGCTCCGTCCAGCTGCTGCTGTGGTGAGAAGTTTGGCTCTGCGAGGTGATCTCTCAGTTGTCTGACCTGCTTTTGAAGCCACTGATGACCAGAGGAAAGGTCTGTGCTAGCTGAAGGTCCCCAGTAGCACCGACGGGACCCTCCTCATGTTGTCCCTGGGCTTCGTCCCCAGGCACTAGCACAGTCGGGCTGGTGCAGAACAGGTTGAAAGCTTAGGATTGTTTGACTTACGTTGAGCCCACCAGGCTCAGCTACCTTTGGTGCTGGTGCTGGTAGATGGTAGACTGACTTGAAAAGCAACCTGCAGCAGGGAAAAACAGTATTTTCTTGTTTACTGAGGCATAATGAACTGCTTTGCAGACCAACAGCAATGAGCATCTCACTTAAACTCACAGATAAGAAAGAGATGTTGCAGGCAGAGATTATCAGTCACTGCAGAGGATGCAAATATTTTAACACTGCAAACTAATACTAAAGGCAGGTACTTTTCCTTGTTAATTTAAGAGACACATTTCATTTATTCTCACAAATCTTTTGGAAGATACGGTGCTTTCAGATTACTTTCTTTTTTAATGTGCGCACTGGGGAGTCTACATCTTATTAAAAATGAGATCACAGTGACTCTAGTACATCAAAGAACTTAATCAGCACAGTGCCATAGAGAAGCTGAAGACCTAATGGAGGCTAAATGTAAATTTGTAAAATGGAAGCAGCTAAATAATCAAACCAGCAACATCAATTTCTGTGTGGTTTGTTCATCTCCTGGCCAGACTCGTTTCAAAGGGTTGAGGTTTTTATTAGAAGAAGAAGAAGAAGAAGAAGAAAGAAAAGTCACAGTTCTTCTTCAAAGTTGTTTTAAATCAGTTGTTTTCCCCCCATCTTTCCTCTCCAGGTTACGGAGCCTCCTTTAAGACTGAGTAAACATCTGGCTGAAGATGGCAGTTGCAAGTGTAGTGAGTATACAGCGATGCTGCTGTGTAATCTGAGTTTTTCTTTCCCCCCTCTTTGCCTCCATCAGTTTTCTGCCTCTCTCTTGCCAACGGTGCCATCCCACCATAGCAGTAACACAAAGCCTTCTTCCCCACCTCTTTCTGAGTTGAGGATTTTGCATTTTGTTATGTATTTGAGGCTGACAAGCCAACAGTGTTTTGAATGATCTTGACAGAGATAATGCTCTCACCACCTGCCATTTTAATAACTGAAGTTGGCTGGAGGTGATGAACTGCTCTTCTGTAAAGAGTTTGTTGCTCAACGGGTCATTTTTATAAGCCTCTGCTGTGCCACACACTTCAAGCAGTCTGAAACACACTGTGTTTCGCTGGCAGCCTTTGCAATTTCCCATCTAAAATGGAATATATTGGGGATCTTCAACTGCATCTGGTGGAGAGGGACAAATTTGTGCTTTATTGAGCCACCTCTCAACACAAATTTACCTGCTGACCCATTGCAGGTCACCCACCCTGGCAAGACCAGCCTGGATTACTACAGGAATGACAGCACGGTGCTGTCCCTGGATGGAAACCTGGTAAATGACACAGATTTCACATGCGACAAGAGGCAGGTCAGGCAGTTCGCTCGAGCCTTCCTGCCAGTGTTTTTCTGGCTCATCTTCTCTGTGGGCACAGTGGGAAACGCCTTGGTCGTGGTCGTCTATTGCAAATACCGCTTCAGGAGGAGCATGATGGATCGGTACCTGCTGCACCTGGCCCTTGCGGACCTGCTCCTCCTCTTCACCCTTCCCTTCTGGGCCAAGGCTGCCTCCGATGGCTGGATCTTCAAGAACTTCATGTGCAAAGTCGTCAACAGTATGTATAAGATCAACTTCTATGGCTGCAGCTTGTTTCTAACCTGCATCAGCTTTGACAGGTACATCACTATTGTCCAGGCAATGAAAGCTAAAACTGCTAAGCAAAGGCGGCTCCTGCACAGCAAACTCATGTGCTTGGCTGTCTGGCTGACATCCATGAGCTTGTGTATCCCAGAAGTCCTGTACAGCCAAAGCACCCAGGTGGGTGACATAACAGTTTGCAAAATTACATACCCATCAAACATCAGCACGATCTTCAGAATTACTGTCCTGGCCTTGAAAGTCACAATTGGATTCTTCTTCCCATTCCTTGTGATGGTTATTTGTTACGCCCTTATCATCAACACCCTCCTGCAAGCCAAAAGATCCCAAAAGCAGAAGTCGCTGAAGATCATCACCATGATCATCACCGCTTTCCTCCTCTCTCAGTTCCCGTACAATATTGTTTTGCTGGTCAAAGCCATCAACAACTACACCAGGGTGGCGTACAGCTGTCAGGCTGCCAACTGGCTGGACATCGAGCTGCAGGTCACCCAGAGCATCGCCTTCCTCCACAGCTGCCTCAACCCCTTCCTCTACGTCTTTGCTGGAGAGCGGTTCAGGACGGCGCTGGGCAGGATGATGCAGAGCAGCGGCTGCTACTGGAGCAGGGGCCAAGAGCAGTGCTCCTCCACCTGCGACAGTCAGGAGCACAGCTCAAACTGGTCCTTTGCCATGCTGGGCAGGCAGCGGGTGAGAAGCTCCCTGACACTCAGCACCCACTTGACCTCCTCCGGTATGCCCCCACCTTGCCAAGTCCTCTTGTAAGTTAGGCCCTCCGCTCTCTCCCTGCCAGAGGAGCACCAAACTCTTTGGAAACTGTCTGTATACCCCAAAGACTGTCTCAGAGGAGCGGGGAGGGCTGGGGGCTCCTCGCGCAACCCGTCCTCGCTGAGCCTGGGCTTGCAGGCTGAAAGGAAGAGAAACCTTCGGCACAGGACAGCAAAATGGAGCCACACTTATTGTAAGCAGAACTGATAGAGCTTAAAAGCTATCTTTGTGACAGCTGTAAATACCCGGCCCACCTGTGGCTCAGACCACAGCCTGAAATAACAGGCCTTGCAGAGAGGTGACAAGCCCAGCTATGGCAGCAACAGAGGCAGATGAAGCGAGATGAACCACCCATCCCGTCCATAGGAAGCACCAGGAGGGGGTTCAGCCTTCATTTGCTGTCCGGCCAGGGTCACCTACAGAGGTGGCTGGACCTGGGAGCTCTGCCTGCACCCACACCAGGTCCCCTCCGCTGCAAAGGAGAACAGCCTTTAGCTCCTACGCTGGTTTATTGCAACAGTCAAATGCTACTTTCTGTGCCTGTGCAGACATTAAGCCTGTTTTGCTGCATGTGTGGTTCTTCTTGCAAAGGAAAGCCAATCGTTCGCGTTCATAAAGTGGTCATTACAGAATTAGATCTATCTTTCTCCTATATTTTAGCTGTGTGGTGTAAGGCGAAATTGGGTACAATTTATTTGCTACGGCTCCTGTTTTGATACTGGCATTTTGTGCGGTTCCCTGCATTGACAAATCGCACCTCACAATAAAAATTCAAGGGCATCAAAGACATTGAGTTGTCTGTCCCGGAGATAGTTGCCATATGGTGCAAAGCCACAGTAAACCAGAATGCAAAACCCAAACCCATGGTTCAACAGACCACTGGTTATGCACTGATATCTTTGCTAATGGTTAGAAAATACATTTAGCCCGCGGCCAGTAAGACAGAGAGTAATGAAGTGTCAAACCTAACCTGAGGCTGCAGGGCACCGCGTGGCCATTCCCCCTCACTCGTCCCTTCCCAGGGACGTGGCATCGCCTGTCCTGCCTGACTGTAGCCTGCACCTCCCAGTCTTCCATCGCAAGTTGTAGTGCTCAGGGGGCTTTCTTTTAAATAATCATATTTAACCTAGTTTGCCTCCTGGTAATTATTTCTTGCAGGAAGACAGTATTTTCATTGTGCATTCATCATTAAAGCGTGTCAATAAACACAAGCTTTCTGCAAGGTTTGGCTGCTTTTCTAGTTAATAGGGTACATCTGAGCAGATAAGGTTCTAGTTTTGTATGTGCTTATTAGGATTTTAAAAAATTTTTTAACCTTCTCCTTAGAGGAAAAAATGGTGAAAGTTGTATGTACTTTTTACTATAGGTGTAAGAAGGGTTTGGGGGGGTTTTGCAATTTGTGTCGAGCTCAGCGCGAACGGAAGCTGAAATTCCGTTAAATAAAGGCGCCGCCACATACAGCAAGGGGATGAACTGGTTGTTTCTTGCCCACACATCCTTCCCAGGTTTGGGTCCGTACACATAACCTGTTTCCAACGATGGGACCTACCCCTCCCGAAAAAGACCAAAGGAAAACTTTGCTGACAGGGTTTACTTCACATGTCTAACCCTTCCTGGGGCTGAGGGTGGTCCCACCCAGAGGGTCCTCCCGGCCCCAAAAGAGCCCTCAAGTCATGCAAACAAACAAACAAGCGTGCAAACCTTTGCTGCCACCGACCTGCGGTCCTGCCCGGTGGCCTCGAGCTCCTCTTCCCTGCACAGCATCCCGCCAGCCCCGGGAACTTGAATTTCGGGGCCTTCTCAGAGAAGGTAAAAGCTTCTTTGCTCCACGAAACGCGGTGGGAAATTTTCATGCTTGGTCGGCGAGTGAAACTGTTGAGGGTGGTGAAACGGCGATGAACTTTCAGCAGTTTGGGGCGGCAGGGTCGTCCCGGGGTCACACATGTCCCACTCTGAGTCAGGCTGCTCCCTGCCGCTTTGCTGGGGGGACCAGCCCCCGCCCCCGGGTGGGTTTTCCCTCGTGGGGTCTGTCCCGCCAGGGCTGCCTGTGGTCCAGCAGCCACCGGTGGCTTCTCAGGCTGCCAGCAGCCCCCAAACTGGCGGGGAAGCTGCTTCCCTCCGGCTGCAGCCTCGTCCCCGGTGGGGTCCCTTGTTGCTGGCCACCACACAGCAGGGACTCGGTCACGGAGGTGTTTGCTACCATTACCCCCAGAGGCTGGGGGGCCTCTATCTGCCAGCAGCACAGCTCCTTGTGGCCAAGCCCTCCCAGGGCTCCTCTGTCCCTCTGCCCCGAGGTTTTAGCTGGATTTATCCCACCGAAATCCTTCTTGTGCCTCCCTAGGGTGTCCCCAGGCTTCAGCTGATGCTGTCTCCCAGGAGGGGAGGTTTCCCGGAAGGTGAGGGGTGTTGCCTCCCCTGCCCCACGGCCCCTCGCACCTCCCGTGGGATGCTGCCTGCACCTTACCCACAGCTCCAGCAGGACACTCACCGAGCCATTGTTGGAAATCCCAGGAGAGGCCTAAGATCTTCCACAGCTCCCCTGCCCTCTCCTTAACGTCATTTTTTTCCCAGATATTCCCAGTTTTGGGTTGCAGTCTCCTCCGCTGTCCCTTTTCTTTGAAGGAGCAGCTCCACTTGTCTCTGCCCTGAGTGTTGCATCGTCACCCTGAGACCCTTCATTTCAACTCCTAGTCCCCATCTCAGACTTCAGAGAGCCATAAGCGTGCCAGGACCCCACATTTTGCCCAGGCGGGAACTGGGCCAGACCTGCCCGCTGGCGTAACGCACTCAAACTATGCAAAGGCTGGGAGCCGAGCTGTAGCAGGGACAGCCATGGCAGTAGCTTCAGGTTGTCATCGATGCACTGTGGTCAAGGGCTCAGAGGTAGCTGCGACCGCGGTGCAGGCAGTCACGTAGCGTGGCACCGGCCTGCTTGTGGTACAAAGAGAGGAAGTTAGGAGAACCGATGAGAAACTTTCACTCTCTGCAGGCAAACCCGCCTAACTGATGCCTGCTCCTGCCTGAGAGAGAGACGTGCTTTATAGAAGTGCCTCTTCCAGAGAGCAGAAAAATGATGGAAAGGTGTGGGAGACTGGTGCAGCAAGAATCACTGAAGTCATGGTAGATAGAGTAGCCCAAAACCAGAACCATCGATCTGAGTTAGGTGTATGCAAACACACCATTTCCAAGTACAATCTGGATCACTTATCCATCATTGAACTGACCAGACACTGTCATCCCAGCACCCCCCAAGTGCTGCTTGTTTTTTCCAAGCCTCCTGGGCCATATGTGTTTTGAAACCTTGTATTTGGATTTCAGCGTGTCCGTGTGACATTTCAAGGGCTAACGGAGAGGATACTGCTGTCTTGTGGCAGCTTCACATGGTTGCCACAGCAGAATGTCATACTGAGTGTGCCAAGGCCAATTCTTGGGGCACAGGCCAAGAAAGAGGTGGGTTAAGACCCTCTGTAAGGCAGCACTAGGGCTGGAAGAGCCTTGCCCCTAGCACCAAAGAAGGGAGGATATATTGTCCGGTATGGTTAAACATGGATTATTGGAGATGTAAACAAAGGCTTTCAACAACTAAAGCCTCCCTTCCAGAGATGTTGTACAGCAAGGTGTGGTCACTGACACATGTACTGCAGGCTAGGCTTAGTCGGAAACTCTGTCCCAGCGACAAGCCTCTGAACATGAAGCAGGGGCTGGTGCTGCTGCTGAAGCATGGGGAGGGGAAGCATCACAGCCTCCACCCCAGCAGGAAACTCCCATGAGGAAACAGAAATCACCGATAAAAGCAGCAATGACTGGTCGTGACGGGGCCCGTCGTCCTCCTGACCCCATTCAGATGGCCGTAGCAGTGCAGACAAGCCTACACGTTTGCAGCTGTAGTCCCAGCCCTGGGGAACGCGGCAAACACGGAGGCGACAGCGACATGTGAAGAATGCCTGCGACTCACGCAGCGCTTCTTTCCCTCCCACAGCCACGCAACATAACCCAGGCGTAGAGACCCGGCCAGCACCTGGGGAAAACCAGATGGGAGCCCCAAGCTGAAGGACAGTGCTGATTGGTGTCATGGATGACAGCGAGTGTAATTGCTGTCCTTAGGGCTGCTTTGTTTTTACCTCCGAGGGGAAGCAAAGACGGACGAAGGTGTTTCTCAGCCACAGGGCTCTGCTCTTGCTGGGGGAGGCCCAGCTGCTCCGAGCCACCAGGACAGGGTGATATGTCCTCTATCTTGGGGACCGGCTCACTTAGTACTTATTTAAGGATGTCTGCTGTTGCTCTGTTGTACTGTACAGACGTGGCCTTTCTCCACCAGCATGACAAATTATTTTCTATTTTCCATATTTTGTAAAACTTTTTCCTCCTTAGAAGTACATCATGCAATCAACTGATTTATCTTCCAGACAAAGCTATCTCTACGAGGCAGAAAAGCGACACATTCTCAATGATACAGAACTTTATTTTTTTAATTCCTGAGGTTAAAAAAGGGGAAAAAAAAAAAGCATCAAGAAACATTCCAGTACACAACCATCTACATCTCTGTAACTGTACCAGACGCTGGTATACATAAATCTCTTTTTCCCCTATCTGGAGCGTGAAGCTTGATGTGAATGGGGCTTGCAATTCTTTGGCAGTTAAGACCAAAAGATGCTTCTGAACAAGTTACAGTCTCAGTGATTGAGCATAATTAAAACTGTAGTGCAATTTCAATTTTAAAAAAGGAGCAAAGTCAGGCTTTTGTAGCTTTGCTATTTTGTAACGTGGTACACTCTTGTGCAATACATCTCAGTGATTTTTCATAAAGCAACATTGAGGAACATTGAGTAAAGGAACACTGTCATCTTCTTAAAGCAACTATGTTCTTGCCTTCGCATAAACCTCTGCATAACAAAAAATACTACCTTCCGTTGTTCCAGCACCCAGAAAAAACATCCAATTGCTTATACTGACCACGACGCATACTCTCTTTGTCCCATGAGTGTTACATCCCCTTA